CTCTTGAACTCTGCCCCTTCACTGGGGTACGGCCACTCGCCTGCTTTTACATTCACTTGGGTAGCGAATTGGAGACCCGAATTCCTGCTCTTTCTCCCCAGACTCCTCTTGCTCCTCTTGGTCCCCAGAGATGCTCCAGGAGCTGGGATGGCCCTGAAGGGTGCAGGGGGGCAGCAGGGAGATCAGACAGAGCGAAAACACTGGGAAACTTCGGTCCCTCTGCACTAATTGCTTTATCTGAGCAGCTCCCCAGAGACATGTGGAGGTCTCCGAGCTCCCTGCAATGCTGCCAGTCCAAGCCCTCTGAGGTTAAATCCCTCAGCTCAATGGAAGCGTGAGCAAGAGGGGGAAAATCAACCCACACAGGGGAAGAAGAGGAATTATCTCAGGCCATGACGTTTAATGAAGTCTTGGAGCCAGGGATCAGGCATGCAGCCGGAGAGAAGATGTCCTGGATCCTCAGAGCACGACTCTGGATCATGTCACAGCAGCTGATGGAGGCAAGCTGCAGCCACACCATACCCAGGCCACCACCGTTACGGTACCAGCACCTGGATTTAGGGATGAACTTGGGGGTCTGTTACGCAGCCTGAACCACAGCTGCCAGGAGAGGACAACCTTCTGGTCTCCAGATGGGCTACGAGCTCCCTGGCGGAGATACATCAACATCCAACCGTACCCGGGTGGCATCAAACATCAGGCTGCAGCTCCACAAGCGGTAGCCCCCAGTTAACAAACTGGGCAGCCCAGCAGGTCCAAGGGAGACATTCTGGCTGGGGCTCACGTGCGGAGGCAGCGCTGGGGGAAGGAGAGGCTGGAGACGGAGCGGGGCCGGGCTGCGCCGGTTCCCAACGGCTGCTCCCTGTGAGGCGTCCAAGGGCGGCCGGCGGGAGCATGAGAAAGGGCTCCTCGCTGGTATTTCCTGCTCACTGTGCGATCCGCAGGCCTCGCCAGCCACGGTGGGGCTGGGACCTCCTCACATGAGACAGCGACGTGCTGCAAGGCAAGGCTATAGGGTGTGCACTCTGCAACAACCCCCCTTCACCCCCAAAGTTACCCCCGGCTAATGGGGTGCAGCCCAAGACCCTCCGTGTTCACTCCCACCTCCTCACAAGACCTCTGCCTCCCTCACTCCAAGGCAGTTCCCATTTTTTTTTTCCCCCCCTTTAAAACATAAGGCTGCCGATACACAGACACCTAAAGACCCTAATGAGTAACAGATCGAGCAGAAAGAGTTCTGCTTCTGGATGCAAACAGCCACCCCCACAATAATAATCCCTGCATTAGTCAAGATCCCTGATGGTAATCTTAATTTTGTTGACTATCCGGTATTTAGTGGGAGACGGAGTACAAAAACCAAAGCCTCACGCAGCTGGCAGTAATTCATAGGGGAAAAACGCTCCCAGTTGCTTATTTATTATATCTGCAATACCTCAGAGTCCATGAGGCTCATTCAGCATGAACACAACGTCACTATCCATCTGAAACGTTCTTAACAGGGAGCAGCAAGAAGAGATGCACACACCATAGAATGGTTCGGGTTAGAAGGGACCTTAAAAATCATCTAGTTCCACCCCCCTGTCTTGGGCAGGGACACCACCCACTGGACCAGGGTGCTCAAAGCCCCATCCAGCCTGGCCTTGGTTGCAATCTTTGGCTTCTTTCACCCCTTTAAGCCAAGATCTCTGAGACCTGACTGCAAAAGCAAAGCCTCGTAGCCCTGAAGCAATGTCCCCTCCTCCGGACAGTACCCCGCGGCCACCTCTGCCTCCCTCCTCTGGGGATACACCACCTCGTCTCCCAAAGCATATGGTCAAGCTCCATCCTTCCCGGTCTGCTTTTGGCATGGTCACCTGGAGACCCTCCAGGTGTCAGGATCAAACCCCTCCAGAGCTCCATCAGCTGTCCAAGAGGTCCTATTGATTTTAGTCCTTTAAGCCAACATCTTAGCAATGTAATAGATTCCTTCCTTTACCCTTCTGGCACAAGTTTTTTGGGAACAAACGTGACCCTCACCCCTCTTCCCAGCATCACTCTGCAGGTCATGGCACGGCTCACCTCCACGCAGGACGCCTTCTTCTCTCACCAGAGCTACAGTACTTAGTTTAGGGGGTTTTACTGTACTTCCATGGCATACAAATACCTTTGGGCTACAAGAGAGATACTTCCCCAGCAGGAATCTGCTATGCCTTTATGTAGCTATAAATTAGGTCTCCAGAGCAAGACATTTCTTAGGGAAATGAAGCCCATTACCCTGGCTCTGTCACCTAAAAGATGCAATGGTTTACACCAGAGGATAAAAAGCCAGCTATGTTATAAGTGAGTATTTAGGCAAAAGGATTTAGCAATGTAGGTTTTGGCCCCAAACTGTTCCCCCAGAACAGATGTGGTGAGGAGGCTGGGCAGCAGCAGTGAGGTTGGGATGGATGCAATGGGAAGGAGACCTTTTTTTTTGACAAATCAGGTGGATATCACATATTAAACTCATGAGCTCCTTGAAGGCAAAGCTTAGCAAGACCCAGCTTCTCACTTCCAGGTCTAGGACATCTCCAAACCTGCCATGAGACACTGGGAATTTTTAGGTTTGTAACAAGAGAAAGCCTTATTTGTGGACCAGGGGGTTATTCCAGCTTTCCCTCCATGGGGATTATACCCCAAATGCCTACTGACTGCTGCTGCAATGGCTTCTGCCCTTCTCTGAAGCTCTCCTCACGCAACGCCAGCATCAGAAGATCAGCCAGCAGCGCCTGAGAGCCCTCCCAGAGTTACGAAGCTCCCATCTGTCACACTTTTAAATAATTGGCTGATCGTTATGAATTCATTTGGTATTCATTGTGATAATGTTAATCAAGATGAATTAATAGAGTCCTCATACTGTACGCGCTCCCTGGGGAATTCCACCACTATTCAGAAATTAATTAATGGGCCTATAATTTTAGTGGTGCTGCCCATGCAATCACCGTTAACGGTAGGCATGAAGCAGGTACCTGAGCACAGGATGTCAGTGCTAAAAGCATTACTGCTGATGCTCCCTTCCCTACAGACGTTGGCTGAGATGTTCTAGGGATCTGAGAGGAAAGTGGGTCTCCAGCTGCTGGTGCAAGGCTCCAAAGGCAACGCCAGGGTAATGGGATGCTCCACATCTACCCACACCTGCATTTCTCCCCTGAGAAGTGCTGCTGCTGAACACACGGGAGAATTCTTGGCTTCTTTGTAGTCCCCTGAGTCTTCCAGAGCTGGAGATTAGACCTTCCTCCCTCTATTTCCTCCTTCTGCCACCCATGGGATCCAGCAGGCCCCATGGCTCTGCCCATCTGCAAAGCAGCCACAGTTCTGCACCTCTCACCTTTAGAGGCATGTTCTGAATATCTTAATCTCTCCATTTAAGACTAGAGGTTTTCTCTTTCCACCAAGCTGGAAATGACGCAAACAGGACAAGAAAGACAGGAGTGAGGAAAGGGCAGAGAGTGAGGAGCTGGGAGACCTTGCAACCACTCCGTGGTGATGGCTCCACGGAGCAGCTTTTCCTAGTCACAAAGAAACCCTGGATCAAACATGTATTGCTTCGGGTGAGTGTGGGGAGGGGACCGTGAGCATCCCAAGCTCTGCCCAGTGGCTTTCCTTGGAGCTTCCAGTTGTTCGCTGTGTTTCTATCAAAAGGAATGCTCTTCCACTCCCTCCAACCACGTGCTCTCTCCAACCACAGCCACCCCTGGCAGAGCTGCTGCCTCCTGTGCCACCCATCCTCGCCTGGGGGAGAAGGCTTCGTTTCCGAGCACCAAAGGGTTAAGCTCTGCAGGGGATGGGGAGGTCCCCTGGGTGCCTCCCAGCCTGATGCAATCCCCCCACACCTCGGCTTTGACGTTGGTGTCCTGGGTCCTTAGGTAACCCCATCAATCCAGCGTGGCAGGGTCTGCTCAACACTCGGGGCGGCTCCGGCGCTGCCCTATTTAATCACTGCTCCAGACAAGACTTAAGTGCTCTTCAAAGAGAGCAGCGCTGCTCCCAGCACCCCGAGGGATGGCTTTATGGGCCAGTCAGGGAGGCGAGCGTGGCTCTGAGGATGTAAGGGGAGAAGGCAGCAGAGAACTGAGCAGCACCACCGGGTCATTTTCACATCGTGTCTGGTGAAAGCCTGTTCTGCCAGCAGTTCCAAACCAGACGCCGTCAGCATTTTAAAAATGAGCATTTAGAAGAGGCACTGCCAGGGAGTTTTAGATCCTAAATATAAATTCCAGCGAGGGGAGGGATGTCTTTTTACGAGACTGAATTTCTTTCTTCCTCCCAATGAGAAAAAATAAAAATCCATTATTGCTACTGCTCGGGAATGCTACTGAGTTCGAGCAGCCTGTGCTCGGGGCTGATGCCCGAGTGGATTCTGATGAGAAGGACATTAATTCACCGAGTTTCCCTGCCCATCCTGAGCGAGATGTGCACAAACAGCACGCAGACGGGCACAGGAGCCTCTCATCTCCCTGGCAGCACGGTGATTAGTAACCAGCAGATTAAACATCATCTCCATCTTGCCAACATCCCCTAACCAGCGCTGGTTCCCCAGGAATGCCACATCCCATGTTGGCCGGAGAAAGAATGGCCAAGCCAGGTGGCATCACCCGAAGCACACTCAGCCCTGAGAGCTTTCACACCTCAGTCTGACGGGGCTCTGCAGGGCAAGGGAAGAGCTCGGTGTCTTCACCATCGCTGCTCCCAACACATGCAAAAAGGGGAGTGCAAGTTCCCTGGTGGCACACAACCTGCCAGCTTTCATCACACCCTGCTCACGCAACCCTCCATCACCCACCTGGGTACCACTCTGGGACCTACCACTCTCTTGGAGGCCATACCTGTGGCGCAAAAGCAATATTTGGTGCATTTTTGGTGCCCCTCGGCAAGGCTCGTGCTCCCTCCGGTTGCCAACAGGAGCCTGCCCGGAGCCTGCTAAGGAAGGATGGTTACCTGCAGCACCCATGGGTGCTGGGGCCAGGCTCTCCCTGCCTTACCTTCTCGCTTCATGCCCATGGCGAGACACTTCTGGTAGCGGCAGTACTGGCAGCGGTTGCGCTGGCGCTTGTCGATCAAGCAGTCCTTGTTGTCACGGCAGGTGTAGGTGAGGTCCTTCCGCACCGTGCGCTTGAAGAAGCCTTTGCAGCCCTCGCAGCTGTAAACCCCGTAATGTTTACCTGTGTGGGGGGGTGAGACTCGGGTTAAAGGGACCCACCGGTGCCCCCCAGTTCCCCTCTTTGCCCTCCCTCTCCCCAGAGCCATGTCTGTGGGAAGCAGAGGTTTCTGGAAGGTGTGAGCAGGAGCTAAAGAGAAGCGGCTTCACCTTGACTTCCATAAAATCAGGATGGTCTCCAGGGGCTACAACGAGCCTTATATGACAGGCTGAGGGAGCTGGGATTGTTCAGCCTGGAGAAAAGAAGGCTCTGGGGAGACCTTATAGCGGCCTTTCAATATCTGAAGGGTGCCTATAGAAGAGCTGGAGAAGGACTCTTTGCCAGGAGGTGTAATGATAGGACAAGGGGAAACGGTTTTAAATTGGAAGAAAAAAGATTCAGATTAGATCTCAGGAAGAAATTTTTTACTATGAGGGTGGTGAGACACTGGAACAGGTTGCCCAGAGAAGCTGTGGCTGCCCCATCCCTGGAGGGGTTCAAGGCCAGGCTGGATGGGGCTTGGAGCAACCTGGTCTGGTGGGAGGTGTCCCTGCCCAGGGCAGGGGGGGGGAACTCCATGATCTTTGAGGTCCCTTCCAACTCTAACCATTCTATGATTCTATGATTCTGGAAAAGTCCTCACCATTTCTTAGCCAGAGAACAGGGGAGAGTGAAACAGGGGGTGCCTCCCTGTGACCCCCCCCATAACTCCCCACACCAGACAAACATCCCAGCCCCACATCACACACCCACCCTCCTCCTCCAGCCCTGGAGCCTGACAGGCACAGGAGACATCCCTAAGGACCTTACAAACTAGGTGACTGGAGCACTTAGGGAGCAGAAAGCTTTTAAAACAGCGTAAGAATAAAGGGAATTAGCACATCTTTATCTCCCAGGAGTGGAGAGAGACTCTATGTGAAGCACATCTTTTTATCTGGCGATATGTGACAAGACTACTACAGATCAAAGGACGGGGAGAGAGAGGGACACTCACTAATGCCTTGTCTTCAGCCAGGCTGTGCTGCTCAGGGCTGAGGATGTCACACCACTGCCATGCACAGACCTGGGGTCTCCTGGCTCGGGTCAGAGCCCGCCCCAGACCAGAGGGGCTGGGGGAGGCTGGTCAATAAGGGACTTTTTGTCACCATCCTCCGAGGGCATAGGTGGCTCCTCTCCTGATGGAGAGCCCCTGCCTGCGGTGGAGCCAAGGAGCCATGGAAACCCTCACCGTGCTCTCCCAGGGCACCCCACATCGCTGTGAGCTCCCCAACCCCGGGGTAAGGACCAGCCTTACCTGAAGATCTGTCCCCGCAGATGGCACATATGTGCTTGGTGAAGGAGGCCATCGTTCCTGAGGGATGTGCTGGCACTTTGAGGACTCCATTGAGCCCCAGGGGTGGCTTAATGTCCTCTGAGCTGCTGACGGGGTTCATGGGCGAGTTGAGCTGTCGAGAGAGAAGCAGAGGGCTCAGTGGGGAGATGGGGTGTGTGGGGCTGAGCCAGCTCCTCAGCAGGGCTTCCCACTGTGCTTGGACATGGGGCAGGAGGGCCAGGCAGGGTGGCATTTCTAGCAGGGGACAAGCTTCCAATGGGGACACGCACCACTTGAAACACCCGCCCACAAAACAGGAGGATTTGGGCACATGTTTCCAGAGAACAAAAGCACAAGGGCTCATCTGCTGCCCTGGCATAAAAGCTGGTGAGGCTCTGAGCTGGCAGCAGGATGTCACTGGGTCTCAGTGCTGGCCCTGGGGTGGGAGGAATTGGGGACATGAGCAGGGACATGGCTGGTCCCCCGTGCACCACCAGGAGCCACACAGGGCTGACCCCATCCGCCCCACGAAGGATGCTCCCACGTGATTTAAGGAGAAGGAAGAGTTCCTCCTGTGTTACCAGACCCTCGCCCATGGCACAGCCGTGGCACAGCCCCCGTGACCAGGCTCTCCCAAAGCCACCAGGGCTTCACGCCGACGATTTGCAGCCACGGTCTGTGGGAGAGCTGCTGGCCGGCAGCGAGCACTCGCAGGGATGATGAAGGCCAGGACACTCACACTTTAGCTTTGCAATTTATAGATAGCCTTGTAGCATTATCTCTCCAAAGGAAAGCTGCACAGCAAATAAATAGATCCCAGATGCAACGGGGCCTGGCTTTCCAGCCCTGGCTGGGGTGGGATGCTTCTCTGCAACTTCCAGCCTGGCAGCAGCTTCTCCACACACCCTCTCCTTCCCTCCCCAGTGAGCTCAGTCCATGACAGCGGGTGAAGAAAATGTAGAATTGGGTGGAATCTGGGTGCTGGTATGGCCCTGTGGGGCTGGTATCGAGGGAAGGATTCCTGCTGACTCCCACATTGCCCCGTGCAGTGGGACAGGGCTGTTATCCCCCGCCGTGTACAGAGAAACTGAGGCACAGAGATGTCAGACCAACTCATCCTGACAAGGGAGACAAGCTCACAGCAACCCTGCCCAGCCCAGGGCAGGTTCAGGGAGGTCTAGGGCTGGATGGAGGAGTCAGGCTCCATCAGCTTGGGATGCAGCGCCGGCCGGGACCGCTGTGGCTGTCCTCCTGGGGACCAGCCTGCCAGGAACTGTCACACAGCCTCCATCCCTGCCAACTTCTAAATCCAGGCTGGATACGCAGGATTTGTGCTTTGGTTTCTTGTGTTCCTCTACCCTAACAGAGATAATCAGCAATTGCACTTGTCACAAATTAATTCAGGGAAGTCCCAAGGCTTGTGATCTGTCAATTAGAGCAGCGCAGCCGCTCCTCTGGCTTTAAAGTCTCCAGGCTGGTGGGGAATATTTGGCAGGCAGATGACTAATAACCGTGGAACAGAGCAAGGTAAACCCACCCTGGAGAAATGCGATGGAGCTGCCTCCCTCTCCTGCCCTGCCCGTGCCAGCTGATGAATCAAAGGCAGCCAGGACCTGGCGCTGCCAAGGAACACACTCCTGGGCTTTAGCTGCTGCTGGGTCACGCTGTGACAGGGCAGAGAGGGAAGGGACGAGTGGGACCACAGGCAGGAGCATCTCTTTTTGGGATCTGTGGGTCCCCAGGCACAGACTCTCTCTCTCTGTGCTACCCTGTGAGTAGGGGCTGCCAGCACTGCAATGGCATGACGTCCCTCCATGGCTTTGGGGTCACCGGCTCCTAAAATCCCTCCCTGTGCACCATCTGGGAAGTGGAGCCATTTCCCAGGTGCAGCTGGTGGCCACGGCTCATGCCACACTGTGTCACTGGCCACTGCCACTTGTGAGCGAAGGCAGAGGCCATCGGCTGCCTGCTGAAGAGAAGTCTTTCATCACCACTTCCCCCAGCCCCAGCAGCCCAGAGAGTCCACCCAAGCACCCCCCAAGAGCATCCAGGGGGTAAAACGGGCAGAGCAAGACAGGATAAGCACTTCACCCTGCCCCTTTGCCAGCCCAGGAAGGTGGGGGCGTCCCCCCACCCTCCACAGCCCCCCTGCATCAGCAGGATGCCCTGGTGGGAGCTGAGTCAGCCCCCAGGGCTGGGCTGGGGGGAAGTCATGGGTTCCTCTCGCAGCACCAGCCCGAAACCTCAGCGCAGGCACCACGTGCACCCCTGGGGTTCCCACCCCCCCCCGGCGCCGTCCCCTCTGCGCTGGCGGCCGCCGAGCGAAACCGGCAGCACGTGCAGGCAGGGAGGAGGCAGAGGGGGAGGCAGCAGCCCCCCCAGACCTTGGCACAGCACTTCTGCTTCGGGCAGGAGAACCCCAGCCCAGCGAGCAGGGACGAGGGAGGAAGCGATGCTCTGCTTCCCCAGTGACGCCGGGACTCCTCGGCTCCTCTCCCTTCCCTCTTCAGTTCATTGCACCGGGGACCGAATCCTGTCCCTGCTGGCAAGGACAGCTTCTATTCCTCCTCCCATCCGAAAAAAA